GGGTGGCTGGCTTTTTAGGGGCCAGGGATGGTAGTTGGGGTGTTATTTTAAAGTCTTGTTCAAGGCTGGGGCCAAGGCAGCCAGTTCTGGATTTGATTGGTGTGTGGGGGTGGCAGTGTGTGGGGCTGGGTGTGGGGACTGGGAGGGAATGGGGTGAGGGTCACTGATATCAAGGGAGTGGATTTAGGAGGCTGCAGTGGGCTTGGGGGCCCTGGGGAAGGAGAGAGAGAATGGGGCGTGGGAAGCCTGGAGGCTGAGCTTTTTCCTGCCTCTTTATCTGTGAGCCCCACACCTAGTGGGCTTAGCGCTAGGAGGGACAAGGATGGCAGGTGATTTAGTCTTTGAAGAAGCGAACCTCTCACTTCTTCCTATGCGGAGGGGGGGTCCCTAGGAGAGGGTGTAGGTCACCTTGCCGTCACCTGCTCTCACAAGGACCCAGGTGCTCAGCCCCTCCTGGGCCCACCTGCTGCTGGTCACAGTGGCACCCCTGCCTTCTGCCCTTGCTCTAAGAACCCATGAGGCCCCTTGCCCTTCCCCCAGAATACTGCACACCCGGCACATGCCCTTCTGGAAGCCATCTGGGTGTCTCAGGAGAGCTGGCTTTTCTTCCTAGGGGCCATCTGTAGCCCTCCAGGGCTGTCATTGCTATTTGCCTGTCACTGAGTTGGGGCAGTTCTGATTCCTTGTCCTCAGGGCCCACCCAAGGTTTTGCTCAAAGTGGGCGTCCCTGGCTATTGAGTGATGGTCACTCCCGGCATTGATGGTCAGGGGGCGAGGGTCAGAGCTGGAGCTAGAGGGGGTCCCTGTGGGAGGGGTGTCCCTGCCCCCAGACCCACTGGGAACACGGGGACTCGGGCGCCCAGGCCACCTGTGAGGACTGATATCCAGGAGATGCAGCAGGGCGGTGGGGATGCTGGCTGAGCCCAGCCACACTGGAGCTGCGCCTGTCCCTTCCTGACTCCCCCAAGTCCTATAGCTGGGACATGGGCTGAGGTGGGCAGTGGCTTCTGAATCTGACCTTCCCCAGCTGGACTCTGAACTCTGGGACCCCCAGAGAATAGTTTCTCAGATCCCTGTTTAGTGGCTGAGGGAGCCGGTCTGAAAGCAAACACACAGTGTTCTGTGCTGGCCTGGGCACTGCCCTGCAGAGGGCCGCTGGCTGGGGCCTCAGCGCGGGAGGGCTGCGTGTACCCTGGTGACTGGCTTAGGAAGCCAGCTGCAGTGGGCACAGGGAGGCCGCGCTCCGGCTGGCCCCTTACGCTGCATGCTATGCGCCGGCACACGCCCAGTGTTGTTTGGAAATCACTAGGGGCCCTGGTGCGGCCTGAAGCCGGGGGATGGGGGGCACAGCGACCCACCCCATGGGAACCCTGCTGGGGAGGAAGGGTGAGGAGGGCGTGGGAGGTGTGGGTGCGATGGTGGAGGCTTGGCAGGGAGAGAAGCTGGATCTGGAAGATTCTGTGACATCAGGGGACACAATAGCATCCCATTATGAACACACTTTAATCCTCGTCTCAACCAACAAAGTCTTTAATTGTGAAGACTGAGGGTGGCTGTGTCAGGAGTGGGACGGACCCTTCCTCGTTCCTCAGCCCCGAGGGGTCTCCATCCCACCCCGATGGAATTCCAGGGAGGTCTGATGTCCACGGTGGAGCGGCCGTCTCTTCACTCAGTCTTGCATCGGAGGGCCTTGAACTTGGATGTCCGTAAGAATGACGACTGGCCAGTGTTGTACACCCTACTCAATGGAGGATGAAAGGAATTTTAGAGAGTGTTTTTGTCTTTACACCTCCTCTTTTTAAAATCCTATAACATCTTATGTGCTGCTTGTAAGCCCTTCCTGTGGCTGTCTCTGCTGCCACAGGGAAGCATTCATCATAACAGGCAAATCTGTGGGTTCTCAGGGCCGCGTCCCTACCCATCACCCACAAAACACGCTGCGGCTGCCTGCCCAGGCTTGGAGGGGCTCACGGGCTCCCCCAGTCTCTGCGTGACTGGGCCGGTCACTGACCCTCTGTCCGCTTCTGTGCTGTCGGGTGGGGCACGGGTGTCAAGATGACTGCATGGAAGGTGCTGACCGCCAGGGCACCAGGGCAGGAAGAGCGGCCCCGGCTGCGGACAGGGAGAGGCCTGTAGTGGGGAGACAGAAGTGGGTTTGAGGGTGTCGTGCTGGGGTGAGCCTGTGGAGGTGGCTGGGTCCCGGCTGGCCTTTGCCTGGAGATTGAGCTGAACGGATGGGGCCACCTTCCAGCTCTTGTGTAAGCATGAAGCTGGCCAGGCTGGAGCTCTGCAGGCGTGCTGGGTCTCCTGGGACCGGGCCAGCTGTCCCTCCTCCGGGGCAGGAGGCGTCCAGAACTTGGATGTCTCTGAGGCTTGAGCTGGCGGCAGGGAGGTGAGGCCAGGGGGGTGCCCTTCCCTTCGAAGGTCAGCCTCAGCCACTGCCACTCTCCCAAGTCCCCTCTCGGCCTTGCGTTCCTGTCCTTAGCATGAGGCACATCTCCCGAGCCTGCCTTCAAGGCTCTGGGGCCTGGCCCGGCTCACTGGATCTGAGGAGTGCCAGGCAGGGATCATTTACCTTCCGTTGAAAGATGAGGAGACTGAGGCTCAGAGAGGCTCACTAGCTTGTTTAGGGCCGCGTGGCTAGTAAGGGACAGCTGGGTCTGCATGGCCTCAAAGCCTGTGTGCGGCCCACTCTTTGCACATGCTTCTGGAAACTTCTGCATTTCACTGAGCGTGGCCTCAGACTTCAGTGCTGGCCTCGCCTGTTGTTCACCCCTCCTGGAACCTGGAGTTCTTCACTCAGCTTTCCTGGCTCTGGTTTTGATGTCCAAGAGGGACTTGAGGCCTGTCCCAGGCTTCTAACCTCTCTGCTCGTCCTGCTGTCTCAGGAGGCCCCTGGAGACCACCCTCCCAGCTCAGGGAGTGTCACCACCCAACCCACTGCCTGCTCAGCCTTTTCCCACTACAGCCTATGTCCCTAGTGTCCTTAGAGTCCTGGCTATGACCCCCACATTCTGCACCTCTGCTCCAATGCCATCTCTTCTGCAGGTCTTCTGTCCCTGTACAGGCTCGGAATGGGCCCCCTTTCCCTAGTGGGAGGCAGTGGGAGCTCTCTGTCCTCAGGCACCTCCTGAGCTTGTGGCGCAGGCAGCCTGGTGGTCACCACACCTGCCCTGGCTGTACTCCTGTGCTCGGTCACTTGTCTGCAGGTGTCTGAGTGCAGGTCTGTGAGCGATGGTCCTGCTGCTCGCGGGTGCTGTGCTGTCTGTGTGTCATTCAGCCGTACGCACAACCTGTCATCCCGCAGGGTGGCCCTTGTCTCCCTACCTTCCTTCCCAGGCTGAGAATGGCATCTGGAAGAGGGCAGGTGCCAGCTGCTGTCCTGTTGGGAAGTCAGCTGATCAGTGGCTGCTGTCAGGAGAGCAGCGTGGTTGGTTCATTCATGTGAGGGGGGCAGGAAGGAGAGGGTCAGGGACCGGGTGGGCCACCAGTCTTCTCTTTGCAGACTGAAGGCACCTGGCTGCAGAAGGATCTCTGGACCTACCTGGCCTCCGTCAAAGGTAGGAGGCAGGCAGGGTGCACCCATGGGGAGCTGGTGGGTGCAGAGCTGGGAGGGTGGGCGAGGGCTATCAGTGGGAGGTCCGCACCTTTCCTTCCTGCCCCACAGCCATGCACGAGGCCTCCAAGAAGCTGAACGAGTGTCTGCAGGAGGTGTATGAGCCCGACTGGCCCGGCAGGGATGAGGCCAACAAGATCGTAGAGGTGAGCGTGGGACCGGCGGCCCTGGCCCTGCCCGAGGGCGCACTGGCCTCAGCTCTCGTCCCACTGGGCCGGGCCCTCTGGGACAAGCCGCTGTGGTTCTCGGGTGTTTGTGTGCTGTGTGCCCTGGGGCAAGCTGCCCTCCCTCTCTGAGGGCTCTTCTCCTGACACTCCCTCACACCAAGGTTGGTCAGATGGTGGGTCGTGGTCGTCCTTACTTGTGTGTTACGGCTCACGACTCACTAAGCCTCCCTGGCTGACCCCAGTCCTCAGCATATCTGATCCTCATAGTCACCAGTAGGGCAGGAACTGTTGCCCCCATCTGACACATGGGGAAACTGAGGCTCTGAGAAGCTACCAAGCTGTGAAGAGATGGGGCTGGGACAGGTCCCTGGGAGGTAAGCGCTGGGGCGAGGGTGGCCCAGCACCCTGGTGACATTGTCGTGTTCTTGCCCATCTCAGAACAATGACCTGCTGTGGATGGATTACCACCAGAAGCTGGTGGACCAGGCGCTGCTGACCATGGACACGTACCTGGGCCAGTTCCCTGACATCAAGGTGAGAGTCCCGCTTGCAGATCTGCCCACTTGCAGGTCCCTCGCTTCCTGGAGGGACCTGGAGAGAGGACAGGGCCCAGGGCGTACAGCTCAGGCCAGGAGGAGGCTGCCCTGGAGGCAGGAAGCCCCTGGCTTAGCGTTTTATCCTCCAGAGCTGCTCCCTCTGTTGCCAGCCTGCCACCCCCAATCCCCAGACCTGGGTCTTCCTGTCCCTTTGGGTCTCAGGGCTGTGGGAGGGGGTCCCACGGCGTGTGTGTGTGTGTGTGTGTGTGTGTGTGTGTGTGTGGCTGCGGAGTGGCTGGCTGTGTGATTGTGGAAGGTGTAGAAGGGGGAGCAGGGCCGAGGGATGTGTGTGCCTGCAGGTCCCCTGTGTTTACACCACGTGTGCTTGGAAGAGTATGTGTGCATGTCACCTGTTTGTTGTCTGGGTTTGCACGTGTGGGTGTCTCTGTGTGGTTGTGTGCCTTCACAGCCTGCTGTCTCTGCCGGGCCTGGGTGGGTGCTAGGAGGCGGCAGTGTCTATGGTCTCCACCGAGGCGAGTGATCTCCGGATGACGTGCACTTGGAGCCGAGGCTGATCAGTGGGTTGACGAGATCCCCTTGGTGGGTGGGAGGCGGGTGTCATGCTCATGCTGGCCTCAGGGGCCCCCAGTGCAGTGGCCTCAAGCTCCCCGAGTCTGATGTTGGTGGCTCTGGAGATGAGAAGCTGGGGGTCAGGCTGAGGAAGAGACTTGGCTGACACGTCACCAGCTGGTGGACATGGACACATGGGCTCATGTGCAAGAAAATGTTTCACACAGTGGGGCTGGACCACTGGCAGGGGTGAGCTCTCTGCCACCAGAAGGGCTCCAGCAACTGGGGCTCAAGGGCTCCTGTGGAGCCAGGGTCTCCTGCCCGCCCTAAGGGTCCATGTAGGGTCTCTGGAGTCTCAGGAGGGATGCCAGACCCCACTCAGCACCCTCCCCCATCTGCCCCAGTCACGCATCGCCAAGCGGGGGCGCAAGCTGGTGGACTACGACAGTGCCCGGCACCACTACGAGTCTCTGCAAACCGCCAAAAAGAAGGACGAAGCCAAAATCGCCAAGGTAGGGGCTGGAGGCGGTTTGGGCCGGCGTCTGCAGGGGGCTGAGAAAGGCAGGTGTCCAAGACCCGAGGGCGGAGCCTTCCTTCTGCCTGGGCCCAGGTGGCTGAGCTGCGGGGTGGGGACAGTGCTGGGCCCAGGCCGGTGAGTGAGAGGCCTCTGTGGGTGCCCGGGTGGGGCTCACCATAGGCCCATTCCTGGCCCCGCAGCCCCGATCCAGGCCACCCGCCAGCCTGAGAGTGGGCCTCTTGGGTCTCCATCATGAGATCCCAGGTGACCCGTCCCTGGCTGGAGGGAGCCGGGGGTGCAGGGCTGGCCCCACTCATCCTGCGGCGAGGGGCTGGGGCGGCCGCTCCTCCAGGCAAGGCCGTGCTTGCCAGGTCCCCTGTGCTGCTAACCACGCTCACCTTTGCCTCTGCAGTTGGAGTTCACCCCCTCTCCTTGCCCCCTCGGGCTGCCCCTGATTCTCACGACCTCAAGGGCCCATATCTGCTTAGGGCGGCCCCTGCGTGTGGGGCGTGTGGACGTGCGTTTAATCTGTGTGTCTCTGTTTCTCTCTCCCCACCTCCCTGGTCTCTCCACCCTCCTTTGCCTTGACCTCCCCACCCCAGCCTGTCTCGCTGCTTGAGAAAGCCGCCCCCCAGTGGTGCCAAGGCAAACTGCAGGCTCATCTCGTAGCTCAAACTAACCTGCTCCGAAATCAGGTGACGCTGGCTTCTAACCTTGCACGTGCTGGTGCCTTCCGGTCTGTGGTCCTGTCCTCTCGCCCTGTGCCACCGGGATGCAGGGCTGGTGTCTGAGCCCGGCAGGCCGGGCAGGGTGTTTTCAAAGGCCTCTGCTGGGGGAGCTCCTGCTTCAGAGGAGATCTGAAGTCAAATGGAGGGGTCAGAGAACCGGCTGAGGGGCTCCGTGTGACCTGGGTGGGGACATAGGTGTGCCCGCTCTTCAGCTGCACCTGTGGTCATTCCTGGAGACTCCTCTGAAATCCTAGGTGCTCCAGGCATGCCTTTGAACCATTTGCCCTCTGTGAGGGCTCCTTTGGGGAGGGAGGTGACATCATCAGGCCCCTGTGCTGCCATGCCTGTCTCCTTCAAGCCTCATGACAACTCTGAGATCATCTTGAATTTACGGAGCAGACAAAGCTTCCCAGAGAGGCACATCACAGCCTGGGGCCCGAGCCAGTTAGGGGACAGTTGGGGCTCTCCTGACTCACGCCCCTGCATCATTTCCCTGGGACTTGTGGCTCCCATGGTGACTCTGGAGGAGTTACTGGGAGGATCCTCCAGTCTGGCTGGGATGCTGAGACCTGGAGGGGAAGCATGGGCCCTGGAGGGTTGGCCTTTGGGGATTCATGGAGGGCAAGTGACCCGCACCACAGTGTTCCTGGAGGGCTTCCTGGAGGAGGCTGTTTGTACAAAACTCCTCGGCTGTCTCACCATCTTGGCCATAAATGCTACGGTCTTATCAGCCCCCTGTCCTCCAAATGGGTCACGGTGTGGCCAGGGACCGCTGGATGCAGTGCCCTGTGAGAGGAGGGTCACGTGGTTTTCTTTCCAGTGAAACTGAGGCACATTTCAGGTCAGCGTAGTCACAGCCTGGATGAGGCCCTCATACTTCTTCATATTCCCAACGGGCCGGGAGTAGGGGCCCGGCCCAGAAGGTTGGCTTTCTCTCTGGCCAGCTGCCTTATTTTTTCCGAGCTGCCTCTTGATTTCATCATTTTCATTGAGTGCCTGCGATGTGGAGAGCTCTGGGTGGGTTTGGCATGGCTTGCTGTCCAATTTCGTTTTCAATTTTTTTTTTTTTTTTAAGGAGTCTCGCTCTGTTCCCCAGGCTGGAGTACAGTGGAGCAATCATGACTCACTGCAGCCTCAACCTCCCCAACTCAAGTGATCTTCCTGCCTCAGCCTCCCAAATAGCTGGGACCACAGGCACGCATCACCATGCCTGGCTAATCTTTAATATTTTGTAGAGATTGTGTCTCATTATGATGCCCAGGCTGGTCTTGAACTCCTGGGCCCAAGTGATCCACCTGCCTCTGCCTCCCAAAATGCTGGGATTACAAGCGTGAGCCACTGCTCCTGCCCTGCCTGTCCAATTTCTCACCTGATGTGCTGCCTGATTTCTTTTAGGCCACAGCTGACTTTGGAGGCTCTGAGTGTTGACAGCCTCATCCTGAGGTCAGGGTGCCCTTGGAAAGCCAGGAGCTGGGGGTGATGCCTAGGGGTCCTCTGATAGGCCCGAGACTTCATCTGACTCTGGAGGTAGAGGAGGAATCCGGGCCTGGAGTTGGGGTGCCCTGCCAGTCAGTTCAGCACTTGGGCTGGAGGAGGAATGTGACTATTGACCGGGGTTTCTGAATCATTTTCCCTGAAACAGGTGAAACTTATTTTTTTGGTTGGGAGAACCCCTTAGGGGGCTTTGGGGCCTGCCCACTGCTTTGGGCTCCTGAGATGGGTGTGGCTGGGATTCCCTGCCCCCACCCCCTGGGTAAGGCATGTGATCACATCTTTGGGTGCTGGGCTGTAGATGTTTCCCATTTTGGCCAAACTGGCTGTCCCATTTGGCTGCCACCTTTATTTAAGCACATCCTCCTTGTCCCCACCCCACCATACCTGGCTGGAGGCTGGAGAGCTTTTGGAGTGAACTGTCGGCAGCTGGCTGGCAGTGAGATGGGACCGCTGGGACCCCGGGGGTGCCCTGCTGGGGGACTTGACTTTGGGGAGACAGTGCATCCTCTCCAGGCTGCGCCTGGGGGGCTGGCCAGTTCCACGCGGCCCCTGGGCTATTTCTCACCTGCTCTCCACACCTGCCCTGGCCTCCTGAACGCTGTCCTCGGGACCCCGGGCTCCTGTGACTCTGCCCTCCCCCACTGCTAGCTTCAGTGGAGCCATGGGGGTGGCACGCCCTCCTCACGGCAGACAGCCCTCACCTCACTCCCTGCCCCTTCCACATGCTTCTGAAGGAGGCAGAACATGAGGAGTGTCACCCAAAGGGAATACAAGACACAGGTGCTGACTTCAGGAGCTCTCAGATGGAACTGTCCCCACTCATGTTCTCTGCAGTGTTGGGCTGTGTGAGCACCGCTGGGTGCAGAGGTGTCCCCTAGACAAGCTGTGGCACTGTCTTCACTGCTGTCCCCACCATTGCCGTCTGGGGGGTTGGGGTGGTGGCTGTGTCATCATGGAGAGCGGGTCCTAGTCGGTACCGGGGTTTGGGGGGGGGAGTCCAGGCAGGTTCTTGTGGAATGTAGGACTTTAGGCCCACTCCTGGCAGTGGGGGGCAGGGGCATGAGTGATGGTGCTCAGCTCACAACAGGACCCCTAGGAGTCACTCATTGTATGTGCTCCATAGAACCATGGCTGGCAGCCCCCCTGCCATGTACTGGGATGCCCAGAGGAGTAGGGCAGGGATGGCCTAGCCACAGCCTGGAGAGGGAGGAGGGGCAGAATTCTCCACTGGCCCTGGTGTGGGGTGCCCAGGGCCCCCAGATCTGATCCATTCTAAGAGAGGCATGCATGTTTGGATAGACATTCTCTTACTCCCCCTTTATTCTGCCTTTAAATTTTTATTAGACTCTAAAAAGCCAGGCAAGGAGCCTACGCCCACTCTAGCAAGTAGCTCAATGTAGCTGTTGACAGAAGCCGTGGTGGCCCCTCCTCCAGTCCCACCCCAAGTCACTGGGGACAGGGGGCTGACCTAGTCCAGTCCTGAGGCTGGATGGGACAGCTGGCTGGGCTTGGGGCAGTTGTGTGCTTTGTGGATAAGTGGCCTTCCAGCCATCTGGCTGCCTTTGCCAGAAGGCGGCCCATCCTGAGTCCCAGCCCCTGCCTGGGAACGTGAGGCTGCCAGTGGGTAGTTTCCCTAGGTGGGGCCCCACACGTTCCTAGGCTATGACTCAGACCCTGAATCTGAGTACCCCTGAGTCAGTCTCCCCAGCCCGGCCTGCAGTGCCCTCCCAGAGTGAGCGAGCAGAACCCCTTCCACCAGGCGGGGTCTGTGACTCACCAGCTGCCCACAGTCCCTTCCCCAGCACTCGGTGGCCCTGCGATGGGGCCTGAGCGCCACCGCCTGGTGGGTGTGAGCAGCGTGGAGGGCACAGGGCCTGCCCCGGGGACAGTGTGGGCCAGGAGTGGGACCAGGCACCGTCCAGCCCCCCGGCCTCCTCCTCCCTGGCCTGCACCCTCCTCTAGGGTCCTCCTGCCGTCCCTAGAGGTGCCGGTGTGGCTGCCTCTGGTCTCCCTCTGGTGGGGACAGGTCACAGGAGAGGGAGGGCTTTGTGGAAGGGCCGTCCCTATGAGGTGAAGTGAAGGGTGGTGGCTGAGGCTGCCAGGAGCTGGCCCTCAGAAACAGGGAGGGAGCCCTCGGGGACAGGGGTGGGGCGGGGCGGGGGGAAGGCAGCGACAGACGCTGCCCTGAGAACCTGAAGTCAGCGGCAGGGCTGACTAGCCTGAGGGGGTTCATGTGGAAGTGGCGGGGTCCCCACTTGGCTGGGTCTGGGGTCTGCCTCTGCACATGCCCTGTGTCCAGCTCGCCCAGCCCCCGTCTTGTCCCTTTTGTTGAGCCCTACTCGCCGCTCACTGCCCTCCCGGCCACCTGGGCCTTTCTTTGGCAGTGGCTGCTCAGTTCTCCCTTTCCTTGATGTCCTGAGGGTCCTGGCTGGCCAGGAGGGGTGGTGGGGAGGTGGGTGGACTGCCAGGGGGCTGGGCTGGCTGGGATGGATGCCCAGCAGAGGGGAATGACACGTGCTGCTCCCCAGGCCGAGGAGGAGCTCATCAAAGCCCAGAAGGTGTTTGAGGAGATGAATGTGGATCTGCAGGAGGAGCTGCCGTCCCTGTGGAACAGGTGAGGCCCGGCGCGGTGTCCAGCCCACGTGCTTCAGTGCCTACATGCGGCGGTGCCCACGTGCTGTGGTGCCCACATGCTGCGGTGCCCACGTGCTGTGGTGCTGATGAGCTGCGGTGCCAGCGAGCTGCGGTGCCCATGCCCTCTCGGGTTTGTGTCTCTGATGAGCGTGTGTGGTCGCTCGTGGGTGGGGATGTTTCTGAGTTGCTGCCCTGACCTGCCTGTTCACCTGGCCCCCATCCTTCCGCCCTCTTGTAGCCGCGTAGGTTTCTATGTCAACACGTTCCAGAGCATCGCGGGCCTGGAGGAAAACTTCCACAAGGAGATGAGCAAGGTAGGCCCTGGGGACCCCTCTGAGGTGCCACACTCCGCCCTGGCCAAGGGTTGAGTCAGCGGCGTGGGAGGGGCGGCCTGACCTCCTCCTTCCCCGCCAGGTTCAGCACACACCTGAGGCCACAGCACTTCCTCCGGGCCCTGTGGAATAGTGCCTTTCAGGAGTGCCCAGGCCCAGGAGGGCAGGAGGGCATGCGGGGGAGGCTGTGAGCGGGTCTGGGTCTTTGCCTGGACAGGACCGCCTGAGGATGTAGACCAGCCCTTTCAAACCGTGAAGGTGTTCTCTAGCGACCTTGGCCCGAGGAGTGCCCTGTTAGGCAATGGTGGCGGTTTCCCAACTTGTAGGAACAAATAAGTTACTACCATTTGCTCAGTTTTAATTTTTCACCCGTGTTTTTGACACATTTAAATAGGCCTGTTTCGTCTGCCTGAATCTGCTGTACGACCGGGTCTGGTCTGATTAGCGTACCTATGTTGCGTTATTTTCATTTTAACCTATCTGGCAGCTAAAACGCAAAGCTGTTGAACTTTGAAGTTTGAGAGACCCAGGGCCGGCACCCCCCCCCACCGGCCCCCAGTGGTGGGTCTCGCTTTGTCTCTTGGGCCCAGAGGGATGAAGCGCTGATGGTGGATTCCAGGCCCAGGGTCGGAGGAGGAAAAGCAGCTCAGGGCCTCTCCTGACTCACACCCCTGAGTGTGGTTTCTTGCCTTTTAGGCTTTCTATTTCTCCTCTTACCTTTTCCCCTTTCCCTTCGAAGATTTGAGGCAACTTAATGAAAAGTTTCAAAAATAGAGAGAGTGGTATTTTAGAGAAGGAACATTTATATAAAATTAGTCCGCAAAAATATATGCCGCAGGGCATAGTTGTTTATAAATTAGGTTGAAAATTTGGCTCTGAGCTGCCTAGTGGCCAAATCAAAGAGAGGAATATTCTCAGTAATGAGCTCATGTGCAAGGAATAAACCTCCTCTCACACCTGTGCTGTCAGTGAAATATCTGGCAGTTGTAGTGTGGTCTGAAAGCATCTTGGCACAATGACCTTAACAATTAAGATCAACAGTCTGCCAAAACAACTTTTAAGAGAAAAATGTAAAAGCAGGGCGAGCTGTATGCGGCATTTTGGGATATTCCTCTAAGTAGAAGGAGGGGAAAAGACGGCTTCCAGGAACTGCAGGCATTAGTGAGGTCGCCCACTGCCCCCATTTCGTTGCCCGCCTGGTTTTTCTGGGTTTGGTGTGCTGGTTCCTTGCTCTTGCAGATGGGGAAAGAGGAGCTTGTTCCTGGCAGGGGGTGGGGGCAGTGGGGAGAAGCAGAGGTGTTTGGGGAAGGTGGGCTGTTCGGTGGCCCTGGAGGCCCCCACCTCCTCACTGTCCCTCCCTCAGCTCAACCAGAACCTCAACGATGTGCTGGTCAGCCTGGAGAAGCAGCACGGGAGCAACACCTTCACGGTCAAGGCCCAGCCCAGGTGCGTGCGGGGAGGGCCCTGGCACCCCTGACTCTGTGCACGGCAGGGGCACGGCTCCTTCCTGTGACCCTGTTGGTGCCCTCCCTGGTCTCCTGTGGGTTTGGCCTTGGGAGTCTAGGGACCTCCATGTCTTGCCCTCTCTGTGCTACGGGAAGCAGGTGAGGGCAGGTCTCTGTCTCGAATGTCCCTGCCCCTCTCACTGTGTTCGTCAAGCAAGGGGCACTCTGGGGAGCCCACGGGTCCTTGAGCCAGCTGACCTCATCACTGTGGAGCAGAAGCAGCCAGGGTTGGGGTGGGCAGCCTGCTCAGCTTTGGGGGCTGGGAGTGTGAACATGGCTGACTCCGGGGTGTGCAATCCTCTCAGAGCAGGGAGGTAGCGCCCCCTTTCCTCTCCTGCTCCTGGAAAAGCTCATGTCCCTGGATGGTAGCATTGTGCTCACCCAAATGGGGTCCTCTTCCTGTCCTCAGCCCCCGTCCCTCTGGGAAGCCTGGCTTCGAGGGGGTCTCTGCTTCCTGAGAGGACAGCTTGAGGGAGGAGGGAAACACCTCGCTCCCTGGCTGTGGATCAGAGGACACAGCAAGCCTGGGAGGCCTCCTTTCTGGCCATGTGTGCATGTGTGCGTGTGACGGCTGTGTGTGACAGGTGTGTGTGTGCATACACACAGGCATGTCTCAGCAGAGGGCGGAGAGCACCGACGAACCCTGTAAAACCGGGCAACTGTCTGCTTCCTGGGGTACCTGGAGTATTGCCTGGGATGATGCGGGCATCGGGTGGTGGTGATTGCCCCCTGCTTCCCTGAGCATAAAATAGGTGTGGCTGACAGAGGGGGCGTGGTGCCCTGAGTGGGGGAGTGGGGGGGTTAGGAGGGCGACGTGGTGGAGGGCGGGGAGCGGGGGTGTTGTGGAATAAAGGCCAAAAGGCGAATCCAAGGTCAGGCAGGGAGGGACAGCTGGGAACTCTAGGATGGGTAAGCAGGGGGACAGATGTAGGCACAGGTGGGAACACTGGGATGGGTAAACAGGGGGTACAGGTGGCCGTCCTGGCCAGAACCATGCCTTCCTTTGGGAAGGGGGTGGAGGGAAGAGAGAGGGCAGTGGAGGCCCAGCAGCCTCCCTTCCCGCAGAGTGGCCCCTTGTGCGCTCTGTGTTTGGCTGGGGGCCTTTCCTGGCATTCTGGGTGCACCTGGAGCCCCTGGGGACTGGGACCACAGGCAGGGCGAATCTCCCCTGTCCCGAGCCTCCTGCCCCTCACCAGGCCCTGTTAGCTTCACCCCGGGCACCTGGCCACAGCAGAGACCAGCCAGGGCACGGGGGATAGTAGGTCCAGGCCCTCTGCAAGGCCTCTGGTACTTAGGAGAGGCTTTTGCCCCTTAGTCCTCTGAGCAGAGGGATTGGCAATGAGGGAAGGGGACAGGCCGGTTCTGCACCTGGCCTTTCCCAGAATGAAGGCCTCCATGTACCGTCCGTCCCCACAGAAAGAAAAGTAAACTGTTTTCGCGGCTGCGCAGAAAGAAGAACAGGTACCTGCAGTGAGTGCTGCAGCGGGGCCCGATGCCCGCGGCCTGGCCGGCCCTGTGCATGCGCCTTGCGCTGGCTCCCAGGCACCGCTAACCCGTAACCTGGCTCCGTGTGCCGTGCTGCCCGGCAGGGCTGTCGTGTGCGTGTCGGGTGGGAAGGCAGAGGCGGTGCCGGGGGGCAGGACTCTGAGCAGCCGGCTGGATTGAGCACGTTCCTCTGGGCGCCCCTCACTTGTCCAGCCCTGGGCGGTGGCCCAAGCCACCAGCGCACTTACCAGTGGAGAACAAGCCTGGGAAGGAGGCCTGGGGAGGGCCAGGGAGGAGACACTGCAGCACGGTGGATTTTTTTGTTTTCTAATTCTATGTGTATATACTGACATATATTCTTTAAGGAGGATACATTCCCACAAAACACAAATTCCAAAAGGGAAGATGGTGTCAGTGACATCGCCTACGCTGTTCCATTGTTTGTCCCCAGGTGACTCGGTCACTGGTTCCCGTTCGATGCTTCTAGACCTGCAATGCCCAGCACAGGAGCCAGTTGTCCCATGGAGCTATTGAGCACTTGAAACTGGCCAGTGCGATGAGGCAGCTGTACTTTTCATTTAAATTAAATTACATGTAAATTTCATTAAATTGAGTTTGCATTGCCACCTGTGGCTAGTGGCAACTGTATTGGGCAGCACCGTTCTAGGCCTTTCTATGCATGTTCCAGTAGGGAATTTTCTCCCTGCACCCTCACCCCGTGCCTGGGGTGCACAGCATCACACCACCTCCCCCTTGGGTTTCGACACTGAACACCATGGCTTGGGACCTGCCCCCTCCATCCCCAGCTGCCCGCTCCCCTGTGATGAGGATGCCTGTCTCTGTCTGTCCAGGCTCTGCTCATGGCCTTCAGTGGCCAAGAGGAAAGGCGAGCCAAGGTCTGGAGACATGTGCCAGGCTGCTGTGATGGACAGGTGGGGGGCAGTGAGGAGGCCTGAGGGCAGCAGGCTGGGGAGCAGTCCCAGAACAGAGGGGCTGCTGTGTGTGGCATGGGAGACTCACTGTGCCTCTAGGATGTTTGGCTTTCTCCTGCTGTGGATCTTGGGCTGTCAGCATGGGCCCTGGTGGACCCCATGGAGCCTGTGGGGTGGTTGGCCTCTGCAGCAGGTGGTTCCAAGGGACCTGTCTGCATTCCTGGGGACCATTGACCTCCAGCCTGGAGTCCCGCCTTGTGCTGTTCCTGTCTCCAAGGCAGGCTTCCCACTTCCAGCCCCGCAAGCCTAGGTCCCTTGGCTACCCCCACCCTCCTGCTCACACACACACACACACACACATACACACACACACACACGGTTCCATACCCCTTAACACAGATGTCAGCGCATTTCCCCACTCCATCTCCTGTGCCTCGGACCCCAACACTGGGCTCCGTTTCTTTTCTGTCCCCACAGTGAAAACGCGCCTGCCAAAGGGAACAAGAGCCCTTCGCCTCCAGATGGCTCCCCTGCCGCCACCCTTGAGATCAGAGTCAACCACGAGCCAGAGCCAGCCGGCGGGGCCACGCCTGGGGCAGCCCTCCCCAAGTCCCCGTCTCAGGTAGGAGTGAGATCTCAGTGGCAGGTCCCCTGCCCTCCCTCTTTCTCCTCTGGCTTTGCTGTTGACCCCCATCCTCCCACTCCTCTGTCCCCTTTCTGGCCTGCGCAGCTGTAGACTTGAGGCTTTGCCCAGTGTGGGGTGGGCCCGGACCTCGATCTCCTTCCACCCCATCCAGCTTTGCATGCTTCTGGGAGGCATCTGTGACTGCCATCCCTCCCCAGCTCCCGCCCCCACTGTGGCGCCCTCCCCTTCCCTCTCCCTGGCCTTTTGGCCGCTTGACTCTGTCTGCATCTTCCTTTCCTCCCTAGCAGAGGCTCTGGGCCCTCAGCCCACAGAGCATGTGGATCTCCGGAGTGGGCAGCCTGCCCCTCTTCCTGGCCTCTCTCTCTCTTAAAGGGGCCTGAGGGAGCAGCCCAGCCAGGTGGCCATGCGGGACCTTTAAAGGGACAGAGAGAGGCAGCTCAGGGGAGAGTGTGGGGTGGCAAAGGGGGCAGGTCTTGGGTTCTGGACTGCCCCTGTCTCCACCCCGCTTGCCCCCAGCGGGCCCTCCAGGTGTTTGCAGAGACTTTAGGTGGTGGCCAGCCAGGTGGGGTGTTCTCACAGCCAGGGGTTCCGCAGCTCCCCCTTCTCTCTGCTGCTGCCCTGCTCCACTGCTGACTAGGAGGCAGGCTGAGGACATGGGGGGATCCTGGACCAAACAGGCTTCCCCTGGCCTGGACATGGTGCCAGCACCTTCTGTGTTTTCATTCATCGAGTCCCCACAACCCCCCAGTGATGCAGAAGCTGTCATCACCCCACTAGAGGAAGTCCAGCCTCATGGGGGCGTGACCTGCCTGAGGTCCCCCACCTGGTAGGCAGGGGTGTGGCCTCTGCTGCATCCTGGGGCCACACTGGCTTTGCAGGGACAGACTAGTCTGAGCTGGGCTCCCCGTGGGCAGCACTGTGCCTGGGAGGTGGAGAGGGGCCCGTGGGAAGGGCAGAGGTGGGCAGGGGGAGGCTGGGGCTCAGCGACTGTTTCCTTTCCCGGTCTTCTCACCAGGCAGGTGGGAGCCAGACCCTCCCACAGTGGGCCAGGGGGCAGCCCGGGGCCTCTCTCCCTCTTCTCTCTCCCTCCTTTCTCTCCCCTCACCTCTCTATCTTTTCTCTCTCCACGCAGCGTTTCTGGACCTCCTGCCTCAGTGTCTTTCTCGGGGGTGGCCTGTGGTCTTGGTGTCTATGTCGGGGGCTGGGGGCGCAGTGGCTCTTCATTTGCTGTGTCCTGTTCAGTGGCCTGGGTGGGGCTGTGGCCTGGGGCGTGACTAACCGTGTCTTTGTCTCTGTCTGTCTCCCCCAAACCCCTTGCTCTGCTGTGCCTTCCCGTGCGGCCCCTCACCCGCCGCCGACCCACAGCTCCGGAAAGGCCCACCAGTCCCTCCGCCTCCCAAACACACCCCGTCCAAGGAAGTCAAGCAGGAGCAGATCCTCAGCCTGTTTGAGGACACGTTTGTCCCTGAGATCAGCGTGACCACCCCCTCCCAGGTCAGCCGCGGCCGCCGCGGCCCCGCCCTCCTCTTCTCTTCCTGCCCTCTCGGGCATGCATGGCCTTCATCCTCTATGCTTCTGTCTCAAGAGCCACGAATCTGGCCAGAGAGAGTGTCCGTTTCCCTCTCTCACCCCTCCTTCCTTCCATCCATCATCTTCCGTCATCTTCCATCACCCATCTCCCAGCATGTACTAAGGCCATTTGCAGGGCCACAGAGGGGAAAGGTGCCCCCCTCCCGGCAGCAGCAGTCACGCCAGCAGTGCCCTCGAGGTGCAGTGCGTGCTATGGCAGAGGGGATCTGGGAGGGTGAAGGACCCGTGGCTGTCGGGGAAGGCTTCCAGGAACAGGGAGCGTTGGAACGCCCTGGAATGGCTGAAGCACCTGGACTTCAGCTCCGACAGCTGCTGTCAGCCACTGGAGGGCAGGGGCAGCGGCCAGGCTGCAGAGCAGAGCTGCTGCGTGCATACTCCCTGAGAGGCACGGAAGGCCGAGATGCAGCAGGGAGCCCCCAGGGTGGCTTGGCCCTCTCCCCACAGGCCCTTGGCTCAACAGGGAGCCCCACAGAGGGTTTTGGGTCTCTCCTGATGGGTTCTTGGCTCAGCTGGGGAGCTGTCTCTGGGGACCCTGGCCCGCAGCCCCAAGTCTCATGTCCTTCATGGTGGAGCCCGGGTGGGAGTGCCTGTGCTGGAGGCGCATCGCACCAGTGCTGGAGTGGGCTGACATGTTGTCAGATTTGCCCAGGGGTGGCAGGGCTTCCCCGCACTCCCCCAGAGCTGACTGTCTCCTCAAGGCCAGTCCTCTAGGCCTCAGCATGGGTGTGGGCCCAGCGCTCACTGGAGTCATTGTCCCCACCCGTGCCGGGGGCTCTAAGGAAGCCCCTTCCTCCCATGCTAGTCTGGCCCGGCTTACGGGGAGGCTTGTCTCAGTGTGGCCAGGGCCACCGTGTCCCATCGCTGGGACATGCTTATTCCTGGGCTCACTGGAAGGGGATCTGGTGGGGAGGGGGGTGGCTGCTGGGGAGGGGTCAAGGGCCTGCAGTTTTAACCCAGGTTCCCCAGGTGGTTCTGAAGCCCCCGAATGTTGAGGACCCCCACTTTGACTCCCTTCTATGGGTGAGCCAGGGCCCTTCCCACACGGAGCCTCGCCTGTAGGGGAGGCTGTGCAATCAGGCTTCGGTGGCCTCCAGCAAACCCCTTTGCGCAGCTCCGATGTCTGGGGACAGGTTGGAGGGGGTGAGTGTGGGGAGTGGCTGTTGGGAACTGAGAACAGTGGTCGCCTCTAGGAAGGGTTGGGGATGGTGGGCCTCAAGCTCCTAACAAGGACTAGGGCTAGAACTAAGGAACTTTAAATACGAGGCTGCAGGTGGCTGGGTGGGTGACGCCTGAGTTCAGGGGCCTGGCAGGTGCGTGGAACCCTCTGCGGGATAGAGGGCGCTGTAGGGACAGCAGTGTGGGCCTGGGCTGAGGACCTCTGGGGCAGCTTCTGGCTGGCCTCCCTGGCTCAAGCGTGCCTCTGCCCTGGGGTGCCCAGTGTGTGCAGGCGAGGGAGATGGGATGGCAGGGGCACTGGCAGATACTGGATGGAGAATCATGCCAGCCACTTCCTATATCCCCTTGTGTGATTTTTCAACCACCCTCTAGGAGGGCATCTGCCCCCATCTAACAGGTGAGGAAGGAGCCTGTGGCCTGTGCAGCGGGCCCATTCCAGAATAAGGTGTGACAGGGCAGGAGGTGGCCCAGAGACCACCCAGACCCAGGCTCTGAGTGCACCTGTCCCTCCCTGCCATGCCTGCCTCCCTGGCCACCATGTGTGCCAGCCCCAGGCGACTGGTCTTCCCGCTCAGGTCTGGGGTGGGGGAGCCATTCCCTTTGGGTGGTGCATGGTGCAGGGCTGGGCTTGCCCTTGTCCATGCCGCTGGTGCCCACAGGCTTCCTGGCGGTGGGGTGGTGAGTAGCCTGTGTCCCGGCACGGAGGGACACTCTTGGGCCTGCATGGCGAGGTGCCACCTGCTGGGGCAGGACAATGAAGGGATAGTCGCTCTGTGGCGGATGACCCTCTCCTCGGCGCATGGCGGGTATTGCTGCCTGGGCTTCGCTGACTTATCTGAGACGGGAAGGGGTGTTGCTGGGGCAGGGAGGGGGCACTGGGGAGAGATGCTGGTCGCCTGCTGGTGGGAGGCACCTAGAGGTGTGCACGGTGTCCTGAGGGTGCTTTCTTCAGAGACGGCGGTTAAGGGCAGAGCAGTGACCTCCCTGCCCTGGGTTCCTCAGACAGGGCAGGACCTAAAGGAAAGTTGGCAGCTGGGATGGGCCCGGGGCAGGGCTTGGGGCCTTGGCCCTCTGGTTCCAGGAAGTGAGTCCACTAGGCTGGGGTTCTCTGATACTTTGGCTTGGCCATGTGAACTGCTTCACGCCTTGTCCCCTGAGCTGTGGGACAGCTGGGTGTTCTCAGGACTGAGGGTCTTGGGTATCTCCTGATGGGCCCTTGGCTCAGCTATGAGGGGCCTCTGGGAAGCCCTGAGTGGGGAGCGTGTGTGCGTGGATGTGCTCCTGCTCTGTGTGTGTGTGTGTGTGTGTATGTACACACATGGGTGCCTGCCCCTGCAGCATCCGCCTGGGGTGAGGGCTCCCAGCCTAACACTAACTGCTTCCTCCTCTGCTGCTGCTGCCAAGTTTGAGGCCCCGGGGCCTTTCTCGGAGCAGGCCAGTCTGCTGGACCTGGACTTTGACCCCCTCCCGCCCGTGACAAGCCCTGTGAAGGCGCCCACGCCCTCCGGTCAGGTTGGTTGTGCCCGCCACTGCCCATGGGCCCACCAGCCTCCAGGTGCCTGACCCTGGACTCATGTTGCCCACTGGCCACATGGCCCCATCTAGGCCTGGGTCACTGCCCCTCCTCTGCCACCTCAGCCCTCGCCCCTCATCACGTCCTGGTTGTAGGGCAGGGAGCAGCCCTGGGCAGCTGGGAGAACTCTCAAGAGACGGTCCCTGACCACTTCCTGGCAGCTTTGTGCTCATTTTGCATCCTGGCATGGGGTCTTGAAGCCCCCTAGAGGTCTCCGGGTTTGGCCACCTGCACGCCTTGGAGTCTAGCTGGTTGTGAGCCACCCCCAGGACCAGCGGGTGTCGGGTCCCTGGGAACTGCTTGCCTCCCTGTCTCTAACCTCTGTGCTGACTGTCCTTCTCGCCCTCACTGCTGCGCCCAGTCAATTCCGTGGGACCTCTGGGAGGTAAGCTGCGTGTCTGCTCTGTGTCCAGCCCCTGGGAGGGCCACTCTTTCGCGTGTGCCTTGGCCTCCTCCTAGCCCGTTCACAGGTGCACACACCCCACACACACCCCGCATGCAGCACACACAGGCACGAGCTCACGCACAGCGAGCTGGCGAGGCCGCCCGTCTCCAGCCATTCTGCTGCTCCTCCCTCTGGCAGGCCCTCGGAAAAGGGGCTCCTTGGTTTAGCTTGAGACAGAGGTCCCCTGAGAGCTGGTCCTGTTTTCGTAGCCTGTGAATGTTTGCCCCCAGACAGAAGCAGGCCGGTCACCCAGGATGGAGGAGTGTCCTCAGGGTGTGGGGCAGGAGGGTGGAAGGTTCTCGGGCTCTCTGAGCATTTCGACAGTGGGGAGCTGCTGGGGAGAAAGGAAAGAGGGGGAGGAATGGGTGCTTTGAGAGAGTCGGGGAAGGCATGGTGGCTGGGTGCCTTCTGAGAGCAGGGCCTGAAGGCAGGTGCAAGGCCAGGTCACACAGGACCCGTGTCACTGTCACCTGAAAGCTCAGGACACAGAGGCTCAGGGAGGGCTCGGTACTTGCCCGAGAACTTGTGGTAGAAGCAAAATTCCAACAGGGTTTCCTGGGCTCGGTTCCTGAGACCCCCTGACACAGGCAGAGGTGCTGGGAGGGGCAGGTGGGTGTGTGGTGCCCTTGGGGAACGCGCTGGCAGCCTGGGCGCCTGGGAGCTCCAGAGGCTCCACAGCAGGGTTTTCCTCCGGAGGAGGCCGGAAAAAGCCAGTCTGGTGAGAGCTGGCAGGGCCCTTTTGACAAGTGGATTTCGGAGGTGCTGAGCCTGGGCAGCACAGTCACACCTGCCTGTCCCATTGGCGGTGGTAGGAGTGAGGATGTGGGAGGTGGGTGGCCGGCCGGGCTCCACTGGTACCCACCCTGCCCCCACCAACCCCGCTGCTGGTGACATCTTCTCTTGTCTTGTGACCCTGCCCCTTGCCTTTCCACCCCGGCCTCCCCGCCCCCTCCCTGTTCTCTCCTGGTGGCTTGTCATCAGCCCACAGAGAGTCCAGCTGGCAGCCTGCCTTCCGGGGAGCCCAGCGCTGCTGAGGGCACCTTTGCTGTGGCCTGGCCCAGCCAGACGGCCGAGCCGGGGCCTGCCCAAGTAAGTGCCCACCTGCAGCCCCTGTCTGGCTTGTCCCCATTCTCTGAGGGTGCAGCATGGAAGGAGAGCCAAGAGGAGGGGATGCAGGGGGGACCAGGCCTCCATGGACGTGAGGGTGAGGACAGGGTCCTGAGCTAGGCTGCCCCAGCACTGGCTTGTCACCAAGGCTGTCAGGAGTGAGGGTGGCCGGGCACATCAGCCCATCCTGGTCACCCACTTCAGCTCAGCCTCCCAGCCCAGCCTCCCAGAGTAGGAGGAGGAACATTTAGAGCACCTACTGGTTTATGCCAGGCAGTTTCCAGAATTTTCTTTTAATTTTCACTGTCACCTTGTGCCCGCCCTGGGTTGTGCTTAGGCTGGGACAGGCGTGTGCTGCTGTCCCCTGGCACGGACCGTCTACAGGTTCATCAACTTCCTGCCAGTGCGGGGCCAAGCAGGGTGGGCAGGCGGAGGCTGTGGCTGGGCGAGGTCTTGGTGCGGAGAGGGCAGGACCTATGAGGCAGGGTTGGGGGTGGCACCCCAGGGCCTGCGCTGGGCTTCTCCACAGCATGTCACTCACATCCCGGGGCCTGCCAGCCTGCCAGCGCCTACTCTTCAGCTGCTTCCCGGGCCCAGGGCCCAGCCTGTCCAGCAGGGGTAGCTACCTGGATTCTTCGAGGCACTGGCCGGCTCTCACCTTGCTGCCAGCCAGGCGATGCCCGTGGCCCTCTCACTTGGGTGCTGCCCTCCTGTGGCCTGTTTCCCGTGTCCTGGTTGTGTCTTGTCCTGTGTCTGACCCCACGCCGGCATTTATGTTGCAGCCAGCAGAGGCCTCGGAGGTGGCGGGTGGGGCCCAACCTGCGGCTGGAGCCCAGGAGCCCGGGGAGACGGCGGCGAGTGAAGCAGCCTCCGTAAGACAGCAGGGACCAAGCCCTGCCTTTTCCTCCCCGCCGCCCGCCCGCCTGCCCGGGGCTTCCCTGTGCCCCCTGCTGGTGCTGGTCCAGGCCTGGCTCCTGTCCAGGAAGTGGGAGGCGCGCTGGTCTGGCACCAGGCACAGACACCTGTCTCCCCTACTGCCCCTCTTCTCCTCGGTGGCCCTGGCTGTTTCTGGACCACCTTCCTGCCCAGCTGACCCGTGCTTCTGCCCCCAGAGCTCTCTTCCTGCCGTCGTGGTGGAGACCTTTCCGGCAACTGTGAATGGCACCGTGGAGGGTGGCAGTGGGGCTGGGCGCCTGGACCTACCCCCAGGTTTCATGTTCAAGGTAAGCCCAGCCTCTGACTGCTGTGGGCCCTCTGTGCCCTGGTGGGCAGATGAGGACCCTGAGCCCCAGGAGGCTCTGTGGTTTGTCCAAAGTCGTGCAGGCGCTACTAGGTCACTCCCAGATGGTGGCATCTGAGCCCCATCGTGTCCTGCTGCTTTCCAGCACTCCTGGTCTCCACGTTGCCACCTGACCTCCCACCCGCGAGGCCCGCCTCTGTGCAGGGCTGGACGTGGAGGGAAGGTCTGACTTGCTGTCCGCATCCTCCGCAGGTGCAGGCCCAGCACGACTACACCGCCACCGACACCGACGAGCTGCAGCTCAAGGCTGGCGACGTGGTGCTGGTGATCCCCTTCCAGAACCCCGAGGAGCAGGTGAGGGCCTGGCTGCGGCTGGCACCGCTGTGGCGGGGACTGGCCTGCAGGGGGCAGCGGAGGCCCGTGAGTGCCGGGGCTCCCATGTGACTGCTCCTCCCCGCCCCCGACGCCTGGCCTTTTCCTGTCCTCTCCTTTCCTAGGCCCCTCCCCCTGAGGCCCCCCTCTCTCCCTGTCCCCTGCTCCCTTCTTCCTGTACCCGCTGCTTTCTTCCCTGCACGTCACCCTTTGCTCAGGCGCTCTCAGCTCTGCCTCTGAGTCTCTCCCCGTCTCTCCTGGTGGTTCCCGAGGCCTGCTTTCTTCCCAGGACAGGATGCTTGACTCCTCCTGCCCCTCCCACAAGGTGCCCACCCTGCAGCCGGACGGCGCAAGGAGCACTGGCTGGGCTCATGATGCCCCGTGTGCCTTCCCTCAAGGCGGGGCCTGCCCCCTCCGCGCAGGGCCATGGGCTTCCCTGCTGTGTCCCCAGCTGAGGCCCACCCAAGAGGCCTTCCAGACCCTTCTCCTCCTGCTGTGGCTTCTCCATGTTAATGTCCTGGAAGTGAAGGCTCCTGGTGAGCCTGGGTGGGTGCTAAATGGGTCCCTCCTGTGCCTGGGACCCTCCTGCATCTGGGTCAGTTGCCCAGCCCAGGGGGCCGTGGACCCTCAGCAGGAGACTTCCTGCTATGTAGAGCGGAGAGCCAGTCTTTGCTTATGGGGGGTGGTTGGTGCCATGTGGGCAACCAGCTCTCTCCACGGCTCAGCCCCTGAGTGCCTCGGGCTGTGCACAGAGTGTCTGGCCGGCCTCTTCCGGCTTCCAGAGAACACATTTAGTCATTACACATCTGTATGAATGGGCTGTCAGAGCGGCTGAGGGTGACAGTGGGTCTCGCTGGGTCTGGCATGAGGCTGACCCGGCTGGGGGTCCTGGGCTGGGATGCAGGGGTACCAGGTACTTCCTGAGGCCCTAGGGTGGGAGGGCCGAGTGATGAGGGCCTCCTGGGCCTGGCGCTGATTCAGCCCTGTCTCCTAAGGCCCCAGACTTCACTGACCTCACAGTGGGCCAGCCCTGTCTGGGTAGGATTTCAAGCAGACTCCTAACCCCCAGCCCACAGTGGGAGTTGCTCTGGGGCGGCCTGAGGGTGCTCAGATAGGGCATGACAAGGGTCTGTGACAAGGCTGGAAATGACACAGCAGGAAATAACAGAGACCCTGGTAGGCCCCAGGCACAGCCCAGCTGCAGGGGCAGCCTAGGCCCCGCCACTGGCAAGAGTGGATGACCACACAGCTCCCCGTGACCCTCCTGGGGCCAGGGGCCGTCAGCACTCCCAGAGAAGGCCTGCGGGGGTCAGGATTGAAGCAAAGGGCAAGTCGCAGTTGGAGGGGCTAGTGGGGCGGCCCCAAGTCCCTTTAGAACTTGTAACTTGTTGCCGCTTCCAGAATTTTCTGGGGTTGTTTGCAGAAGTCTGGAAACCTGGAAGGGCTCATGTGCTCTGCGTGCACCTGGGGGTGGGAGCCTCTTGGCCTGGATTGAAGGAGTTGTTTAGACACAGTCAGAGCAGAGAGCAGCAGGACTCCCCAAAACCAGCTACGAAAGGTTAGATCCACCTGGGGACGACAGGCAGGTTCCTGTGGTGCCCGTGGGCAGGAGCCTCAGCCAGCAGCATCAGGGAGTGCTGCCTGGAGGAGGTATTCTCCAGGTGGGCTTGGCAGGCTAAGGGGCCAAGAGCAGCAGGACGGCCGTCTTCCCAGCGGGTTGGAGCGGGCCTCTTGCCCTGTGGGTTGGAGCCCCTTGCCCAGCCCTGTGCGACCCGGTGCTCTGCCCCTCAGGATGAAGGCTGGCTCATGGGCGTGAAGGAGAGCGACTGGAACCAGCACAAGGAGCTGGAGAAGTGCCGGGGCGTCTTCCCCGAGAACTTCACCGAGAGGGTCCCGTGACGGCGGGGCCCATGCAGCCTCCGGGCGTGTGAAGAGCACCTCCTCCCGAAAAATGTGTGCTTCTTTTTTGTTTTGTTTTGTTTTTCGTTTTTAATCTTCTGAAGAGCAAAGGGAAATCAAGAGGAGACTCCAGGCAGAGGGGTGTTCTCCCAAAGATTAGGTCGTTTTCCAAAGAGCCGCGTCCCGGCGAGTCCGGCGGAATTCACCAGTGTTCCTGAAGCTGCTGTGTCCCCTAGTTGAGTTCCTGGCGCCCCTGCCTGTGCCCGCATGTGTGCCTGGCCGAAGGGCGGGGCTGGGGGCTATGCCAAGCCACCACGCTTGCCTGAAGCTTCGGCCGCGCCACCGGGCAAAGGCCCTCTTTTCCTGGCAGCCTCTGTGGGTGGGGCCCAGCACCAGCCTAGCCTGGCCCTGCCCCGCAGACGGTCTGTGTGCTGTTTGAAAATAAATCTTAGTGTTCAAAACAAAATGAAACAAAAACTCTGATAAAAACACTCAGAAAACGTGCGTGTGTTTATTCTCCCTCTTTGTGTCTGTGAGCGTAGATAGGACTGAGCTTATCTGTGGCTTTCTTGCTGCGGCGATCCACCCCTGGAGGCCTGCTGCCCTGGGCTGGCACACCACAGGCTTCAGCCCCGGTCACTTGGCATTTTTAGGGGTAGTCAGCTGGAGGTCAGGGACTGGGGGCTTGGCTGAGGGGGCTTGGTGAGTCATCTCTGCCTGAGAAGTCCGCTGAGTGCTGTCCTAAGTGACCTTTTTTATTTTATTGTTTTGAGACTCGGTTTTGCTCTTGTTGTCCAGGCTGGAGTGCAATGGGGAGATCTCAGCTCGCTGCAGCCTCCCCCTCCTGAGATCAAGTGATTCTCCTGCCTCAGCCTCCCGAGTAGCTGGGTTACAGGTGCGAGGCACCACACTGGGCTAATCTTGTATTTTTAGTAGAGATGGGGTTTCACCATGTTGGTCAGGCTGGTCGTCAGGTGATCCGCCCGCCTCAGCCTCTCAAAGTGCTGTGATTACAGGCATCAGCTGTCATGCCCGGTGACGTGACCTGATTTAATATGTGTGAGAAGCTGAGGGTCAGATACCAGGACTCCCTTTCACAGTTGAGGAAGCTGAGGCCCATGGAGGTCCAGTTACCGGCAGTTGCGTGGTGGCACGGGCATGTGAGTCTGAGCAGTTGACCCCAGACCAAGGGCAGTGCTTGTGTCTGATGGGGACTGAAGGGCCTGGGTGGGGGCAAGGTGAGCTGGCCTGGCTTGTTCCTCATCTCATGACCCCTACTGCCCCCACCCTGGGTGCTTCAGCTCCATTGGCAGACTCGGGCAGGTCTGAGCAGCGGTGACACACAGCAGTGGAGCGGCAGCTTCCCAGGAGCTGCGGGGCTGTGCCCATGGGCCAGGGAGCAGCCTGCACTTCCAGGTGGAAGGAATTCAAGGCTCCCTTTGGCCATAGGAAAAGCCGGTGAGCGAGGTGACTGTCGGAGTCTGAGCTTTATTTCTGGGCAAAGCCCCTGGGCTTTGCTTCAGGTGCCAGGATTGTCATTGCTGTGGCCCTGTCTGGTCCTGTGGAGGGCAGATAGTGTTGGCTGTGCCATCCATGGCTTCTAGGAGCAATGGAAGTCACAGCAGCTGGGACAGAGCCCCTTTCCAGTCCCCCTGCTTGGAGAGCTCCCACCTTTCCTGCCTTCCTTCACACCCTCCTTCCTTTCTTCCTCCCTGACAGCCTCAGGCCCCTGCCCAAGGGCCACAGCTCATGGTGGGTGGAGCCGGCTTGGAGCCCAGCCCACTTCCGAACCTGGGTGCATGTGCCCTGCGCTTTGTGGGGCGTGCAGCCACAGTGCCATCATGGGAAGTCTTTGCTTTTATTTCAACCTGAAAATTAAAAAAAAAATAAAATCTCCTCTAAGACACATTATCCAGGAGAAGGCATTTACACTGGGTTTTATCACAATAGGAGATTCCAAGATAGGTCCCATGGCCACTTGTGGGTTTACCTGCAGCCCTCACTGCTGGGTTAAGGAGCAGTCCTGCTCTGCACCACAGGGTCAGGGCCTGCTGGGAGCTTCTTGCCAGAGGGAGCAGGGCCAGAATTGGGGCTGGGGAGCCTGCGGCTCCAGAGGGAGGGAGGCCAGGTGTGAGGTTCCCACCCTGCTGGGGAGGGGCAGTGGCCCAAAGTCTGAACTGAGATGTGTGTCTGGGAGCTGGGGTGTCACTAGGTTCATGCAGTGCAAGGGGCGATCAGAGACAGGCAGCTTGAACAGGAGGCCAGCGAGCTGAAGGCCGGGCAGATGAGAGGGCCCAGGCCAGGATGGAATGGAGGAAATGGCAACAGGCGGGGTGAAGGTGGGCTGTGGTGGAGGCCGGGACAGGTCCGGGCTGCTTTTCCTGCCTGGCAGCTGGACACGCGGTGTCCTGGAGGGCTGGGCGATCTGCCTTGATTTGGGCCAACATGTGGCTGCAGAGGTCCAGACCCTGGGCAGGGCTCCCGGCTCTCACGGCACCCAGGGTGTGGGTTCTGGAACTCAACTGAGGCTGGGGGCTCATACCGACCCCATACCCTGGGAGGGCTGAGCATGATCTTGGGAAGAGGCCCACCCTGGGCAGCCCTCTGCTAGGCTCCCTTCCAGCCTCCCGGAGCCAGCGTGTGGTGGGCACAACCACATGGGGGATTGGAGCCAGGACTGGAGAGAGGGAAGTCTAGAAGAATGCCCCTGTGTGGGGCTGTGGGGTGGGCTGCAGCACCCAGGTGCCTGAGGGAGGGCCAGGCCCCGCCTCGAGGCATTCTCATGGCTTCCTGGAAGGTGTGGGCCACTTTTGAAACCCCATGAACACCTTTAGAAAATTGATTCACTTGTTTATTACTCTGTGTTATGAATCCATTTGCTGGCAGGAGCAGCATTTTGAGTCATGGGATTTGGCAGCTAAAATGATCACACACACACCTGGTCAGTGCAGATGGCTCGAGGCCTCAGACTCTGTACTGACTCTGCCATCAGAGCCTCTCAAAAGCCTCTGATCCATCGCGGGGAGCTCCCCTCCTGCCAGCTCCCTGGTCTTCCACTGCCGCCCCAACACTGGCCCCGCTGCTGGCCCGGCCTCTCACTCCTTGTCCTTGATTGGATTTGGTGTCACTTCTCTCTGTTTTGCTGGTCTGGAGACCCTTGTCCCTGCCTCTAGGAATTTAAGTGCTCATACCCCTGGTCTCAGTCACCCCAACACCAGGCTGCATGCGGGGACGTCATGGGGATGGCCAAACGCTGGGTCCCTCTGCTCAGCTGCCGTGGCTGGTGTGCTGGGTGCTGGGTGGCTGTGGCTCAGGCCCTCCGAGATGCTCTCGGCCCCCTTAGCCTCTGGGCAGCAGCTTCATCTTGGAGCTGAGTCCCCAGTAGTTCAGGGTTTGATGTCTGCGCACTTCCTTCTGAGAAGCCCCCTGGAAAATCTTTCTGAGTCATTGAATTCTGGGCCAGTTGCTGTGGCCTGGGGTGGCACTTGCTGATTGGCCCAAGACAAACAGGGTCTGGAGCTGGAGGTGGGCTGAACTGGGTGAGGGAGGGGTGAATGCCTGAATGAAAATTGGGGTGAGGCTTCTGAGGAGAGGGGCAGGTGGGTTCTAGGAGCTCAGATCTGGGAATGTGCACTCCATCATGGCTTCCAGAAAGGCCCTGAGAATAGGGAACTGGCCCGGATGAGAACTTCGTGGAGGTGTGTGAATGTGTGAGTGTGAATGTGTGTGAATGTGTGAGTGTGAATATGTGTGTGTGAATGTGTGTAAGAGCATGTAAATGTAAATTGTGAATGTGTGAGTGTGAATGTATGTAAGTGATTTAGTGACTATAAGTGTAAATGTGTGAACAAGTGTGAATGTGTGTGAATATGTCAGTGTAAATGTGTGAATGAATGGTGAATGTGAATGTGAATATATGTGTGTAAATGTGTGTGTGAATTGGCAAATGTGAATGTGTGTGAATGTGTGAGTGTAAATGTGTGAATGAATGGCGAATGTGAATGTGTGAATGTGTGTGTGAATGTGTGTGTAAATGTATCAATCAATGGTGAATGTGAATGTGTGTGAATGTGAGTGTAAATGTATGAATGGTGAATGTGAATGCGTGTGAATGTGTGTGTATGACTGTAAATGCATGAATATATGTGTGTAAATGTGAGTGTGAATGTGTGTTAATGGGCAAATGTGAATGTGTGTGAATGTGGGAGTGTAGTGAGTAAATGTGTGAATGTGTAAATGTGAATGGGTCAGAGAATGTATGATGTGTGTGTGTGAACGGTGTGAATGTGCGTGCAATTGTGTATGAATAGGTGTGAATGTGTGCATGTGAATGGTGAGCGTCAATGTGTGTGCGACTGTGTGCCTGTGAACAGGTGTGAATGTGTGAGTGTGAACGTGTGTGTAAAAGGGCTAGTGTAAGTGTAAGTGTGAATAGGTCAGTGAGTGCGAGTGTACCTCTGTGTGTAAATGTATGTGAATGGATATGTGAGTGTGGATGTGTGCACATGTGAATGGCTGAGTGAATGGTGAGTGTGCATGGGGATGAGTGAGTGTGAATGGCGAGTGCCCATGTGACGTTTGTGGGACGCCTGCTTGGTTCACTTTATCCTCGCTGTGGCTGGCCTAGGGCAGTGTGAGGCTGAACGCAGCCGGCAGGGGAATACTCACCCGACGGCCCCAGGCTCCTGGTCTCAGAAGCTCTCCCACTGGAGACTGTGTGGACGGCTGAGCCCCTCCTTGGCTGGGCTGTTTGGAGACTTGTGCGCTGGGGACATGCTGCATCCGTAGCGTCCCGAATGGTCAGTCACTCCTGCATCCATTCATTCTGTGGCCATTTCCCAGGCAGGCACTGAGTTACAAAGAGGATCAAAATGCCCCCCTCAGTGGACTCGGAACTACTAGAAGAGAGAGGATGGAGGGGGCAGGGCTGGGAAACTCCCTATTGGGCTCTATGCTCACCACCTGGGCGATGGGATCAACCATACCCCAAACCTCAGCATCACGTAATACACACAGGTAACAAACCTGCATGCATCCCCCTGATTCTAAAAGAAAAGCTGAAAAAGAGAAAATAAAATAATAAAATGTGGGTCCTGCCGCTGATGCTCGCACAGTCTGGGGGAGGCAGAGCCGCTGCGGCCACAGCGGTGCGTCTGGGCGGTGCATCGGAGGTTCTGGGGACAGAAGTGGAGCTGCCATCTGGCTTGGCATTGGGCAGGTGCCTCGGCTGAGGGGCTGGCACCTGGGAGGCCGCCTTGGGCCGGGGCAGCCAGTGGAACAGGCGAGCGGACACCAGGTTGCTTGAGCTGGGTATGCCTGGAGCTCAGGAGAGAGTCTGGGGCTGGGAAGAGGTGAAGGTTCTGGGAGAGCTCGTGGAGGAGGCAGAAGGAGGGCTGGGGCAGCTCGTGACCACCACTGCTAAGAGAAGGGAAGCTGGCTGTGCTGTGGCTCACGCCTGTAATCCCAGCACTTTCAGAGGCCAAAGCAGGTCACCTGAGGT